CTTTCCTCCATAAATGCCTCGCATGAACTGCGTTTGGTTAAAAGCCCAGATGTTTATTATTCAAGCTTTTTTCTTCTCGGCTTGTGGGGATATTGAATCAGAAGATGGCTTGCTCAGGCCAAGCCCGTGTAGGACACCCCACGATGCCCTCCCATCAATTTTCCCCCCACCTATGTTTATACTGTAGATGCCCAAAATTTAAATCATGGAAGGAATTCCTTCTAGGTAGATATGAACCCCGTGATTTTGCTTCTTCTGTAGCTTTTTCTTAAACGTCCCAGCAAGCTTTTTTAAAAATGAGGGAATTAAACATAAAGGGAATAGCATGGTGCCCTTCTTTAACTATTAAAGGTGGACCATCTCGCCCAAACCTAATGCTGTATTTTAGGGAAGAAAGGTTCACAAGCACCACTTTGACACAAAATCCAGACTCTTTATACAAGACCATTCGTGGCTAAAACTTACTAGAATTAAACGGGTTTTTTTTCCAAAGCAATTTTAAAAAAAATCATTTCAACACAAATACCGTTGAGTTACCAAAGGGGGGAGAAAAAAGAAAATAAAACCCAATATAAATAATTTCTTTAAAAAAGTAACAAAACCCACAAAATGAATCAGTAGTCATTCTTTTAGAGGGAAAAACATTTCTGGTCGAGGCCTCCAGTTATAAAATTCTTCAAGCAACCAGGAGACGGGGAGGGTGGGGGGCGTTTGAAGCCAGGTCCTCCCGACCTCCAGTTTAAAATTCCAGTCTTTTCAGAGAAGGGGGGGGGAGAAATGTAGTGTTGTGGCACGGAGGGGTGTGGAAGCAGGAGGAGGAGGAGGAGGAGGAGGATTATCACCCCAGGAATCCCCCCTCCTTGGCCTGGCAGCTTCAACAGAGATTTTAAGTCTTTTTCCCTACAGGAAAAGTGAAATAATCCCTGCGTCCTTGAGGTGCCAGGCTGTCCGAAAGAAAACTGCAGGTAAAAAAAGGATTCCTGAAGTAAAGGCAGCAACCGGCTATCCCAAGCAGAGGAAAGGGAGAGACTGGCGTGAAAAGGGGGATAGCCGAGCCCCCTCCGGACCTCTGGCAGATGTGGAATACTGAGGGAGGAAAGATGTGGGGAGGCTGAGCCCCCTCCCCAGAGATGGAGGAGGAATCCAAGATAACGCATCTGGGTTGTCTTTAAGTCAGGAATGCTAGCACCAAAGACCCATTTAACACTCTTCAACTCCCTGGGGGGCTGATCGGAGCCCCCCTGCCAGAGGATGGAGGGGAGAGAGGAAGAGACCCCAGAAGTCAGCAAAGACCCCAGGCGGGGAAGGAGTCAGGCAGGGAGGGGCTGGCTGGGCAGCCCACCCCAGGGCCCAGAGGAGCCTTTCTCACCCCACCAGCTGGTTCCAGAGGTACACTGGTTGGAGAAGTGGAACACACACACACGCATCCCACACATGCACACACGCAACTGGCAATCTCTTGGGGCAGGCTGCTCTTAGCTGAAGAGGAAGCATGCAGCGGGCCGAACCCACTTTGTAAAAACATGGCAAGACAGAGGACTGGGAGTGCTGGGGGGGGGGGGTTCTGAAGGGGCAGCAGGGCAAAGGCCGGGCCTGCAGCACCCGATCCTGGGCATCTGAGCCGAGGGAGGGCAGACCTGTGGAGACACCCGCCTCAAAGGACCCCCACGGCCTCGCCACTTCAGATCCAGGCCGGAAGGACTCCCGCCTACCGTGAACGTCCCTGCCGCAGCCGGTTTTGCAAGACAGGGAGAGGAGGGCCCGGAAGGGCGAGAGCGGGCAAGGGGACTGGGGCAGGGCAAAGCGGAGGAGGAGGGGGCCTCCCGGGGGTCTCGCAAGGGATGCTGCAAGGCTGCGAGAGAGCAGCCAGCCCCCCCCCGGGTCTTTGGGGGCCAGAAGCTGGGCAAAGGGGGAGGACTCACGCCAGCCTTTGGGGATCAGGGGCACCAAGGGCTGCAGTCCCTGCCCAAGCCCCTCGCCTTGCGCTCTCGGGCACGCTATGGGGAAAAGGGCGGGGCTTGCTGGGCGGTCTTTTCCTGCCCCTCCCCTAAGAGCACCCCTGGCCCCTCTGGGCCTCCGTGACAAGCCTGGCTCTGAAGCACGCCCCCCCCCGTGGCTGGCCCCTCCCAACGAGCAGGAGCCCCAGAGCCAACCGCCAGGGCCCTCTGGAGCCCCGTCTCCCTACCTGGGAGCCCCTAAAGTATTGCAGCGCCTCCCTTCAGGGGCGCAAGGGAGTCTCCTGCCTCTGGGCCCAGCCGGTGGCTCTGCTCTCCCTCCTCTCTGAAGGAGGTGAGCGGGGCTTCTGGGTTTCTGCCTGGGGGGCTTCCCCCTCCCCTGGGAGTGCCTTTGGCCAAGGGCCCACTTTCTCTGGGCTCCGCTGAGAGAGAAGGAAACATTTCTGCAGTGCGGAAGAGCCCCGGGCAGCCCCGGATTCAGGAGACCAGCGAGAGAAACTGTTGCTGCCTTTTTTCACACACACCCCACCCCAGACAAAGCCCCTCCTCAGTTCAGTAGTACAATAGGGTGACGCAGAGCAGCCCTGCTAGAGATGGGCCCGCAGGGTCCATTTGGGGGGCCGCGTCATCGGTTGACCAAGAGGAGTCCTCAAGGAAGGGTCCCGACTGCTTGCTGAACTCCTCCTGCCCACACCAACTGGGGGGGCACCATCCCCAGGAAGCAGGGCTCGGTGGGGTCCCAGAGCCCCCTCCTCGTGCGCAGGTCTCCAGCGGCTTCGTGGGACTGGCTGGGGATGATGGCTCTTCCCCCAGCCCGTTCTCTCTTCACGGAGGAGTCCGGCTCGCTCATCTCATCCGGTTCTGCCGCATCAGGGGCACGATGCAGGAGGGGGCCCCGGCTTTGCCGACGAAGGGGTGCTTCAGGAGCTCGCTGGCCGTGGCTCTTTGGGCTGGGTCTCTGACCAGCAAGCGGTCCAGGAAGCCCTTCAAGGAAGGGGAGACCTGCCGGGGGAGAAAGAGCGGAACGGCGTGAGCCACAGCTGGGAGAGGGAGGGGGGCCCTTGGGGAGCCTCAAGGAAACCCCTTCCCCAACACCGGACTGACCCACTTTCTCTGCCCATCCTGGGCCAAAGAAGCCCTGAACCTGGTGGTCTCCTACCAGGTCCTGACCTAGAAACCAGCTGGCACAGGGGCAGGCAGCAGGCAGCCAGTTATGCCGGCTCAGGAATTCTGGGAGTCGAATCTGACCTCCGATTATGAAGGAGGCGCTTCCCTGCCGCCCAGCAGGAGGGCCACAGCCAGGTCAGGCCAATGAAGAGGGGGCTGAGGCCGTCAGTGGCCGAGGGCAGCGGAATCACCACCCCTGGCCTGAACAACTGGCAGCAGAAGCTGCCCTGGGATGATGCGCCTGAGCCAAAAATGGCAGGACACGGCAATCTGGGGGAGGGAGGGAGGGAGGGGGGAGGGGGAACTTGGAACCCCCCCAGAAGCCGCCCCCTTGCCCGGCTGGGCGAGGCAGAGAGCAGGAGAGGGCGCTCACCTTGTGCAGATTCTTGAGTTTGGGGGGCAGGTTGTCCCGGATCATCTTCATGGCCTTCAGAGGGGGCTCATTGAAATAGGGAGGCTCCCCGTCCACCATCTCGATCACCATCACCCCCAGGGACCAGATGTCCACCTGGAAGAGCGGAAGGGTCATCGGGAGGAAGGGCAGGGAGGGGTTGAGGGAGGAGCGGCCCCTGCACCCCTCTCATCTGCTCCTTTCCTCTTTTCCCTGGAAACCTCTGGTCAGCTGCATTGCCCAGGCGTGGCTGGTGGGGGAGGGAGGGAGGGAGGGAGGGGGGGCTCTATTCTCTCTCTCCAGCAGCAATATTCTTCTTTTCCAGATGGATTTTCCAGTGAGGGGGGAGCCGGAAGGAGGGCAGCCACCCGGAAACATCCCATTTATCTAAAGCTTTAGGGTTTGGGAGGGGAACTTTCGCGGTCTCTGGCGGTTAAGGTTTTCTGGGGCTGCCCTCTACCAACGGACACCTGAGCTCCACCTAGCTTAGCTACTACAGCACTGTCTCCAAAGCCCCCCCCTCTGCCCCCCCACAAAACCCTCCCGCAGAGGAGGAGACCCGTCAGGCCTTCCCCGCCTCACCCACCTCCGGCCCGTAGGGCAGCCGAGAGATGAGCTCCGGGGCCATCCAGTAAGGGGTCCCCACCAGCGACTTGCGCCTCGGCACCTCTTTGTTGACTTGTGCACAGAATCCGAAGTCGGAGAGCTTGACCTGAAGGAAGGGCAGGGGAGGAGGCCGTCAGGGGGGGGGCTCCGCAGAGCTGTCCCACGGCTGCTTCCCAGGGCTTCAGAAAGTCCCCCCCCAGCACCATTGTGTGTGTGTGTGTGCCCACAAGTCATAAAGTTGCCAGCTGCCTAGGGAGTTCTGGGAGTTGAAGTTGCCAAAGGTTGGATTTTCAAAGACTCTCCAAGGACTACTGAAGTGGTCTTGCAGGGGGTGTGTTTTTGTGTGTGTGTGTGTGTGTGTGTGCTAGCTAGAGAGCCAGGGATTTTCTCCCTAGGATTTGCATGCAGCTTTTAGGGAATTGGGGCCGCCAAAACGCCAGCTGGTTTGGGGAGCAAAAAGCCATGGAAGAGGGAGAGGGCGGGCTTTCCAGGAGGCCTGGGGTTGGGCAGCTCACCCGTCCGTCGTGGGTGAGCAGGATGGAGTCGCTCTTGATGTCCCGGTGGATGACGCCCTGCGCGTGCAGCACGGAAAGGGCCTTCAGCACCGAGAGGCAGACGGCCGCAATCTGCTCCTCGTTCATCCTTCAAGCAGAAGAAAACACGGCACTTTACCCTTCTTTTCTTTCTATTTTTGTTTTATTCAAAAAAAAAAAAGTTAAAATGCAAAATGCCAACAGTGTTCGTTAAAGAAACAAAAAAACACACAAAACAAACAAGACATTAAAAAAGGTGCATTAAAACAACAACACACATACACATTTTGTCCCCCCGGATTAATATACAGGCAGTCCTCGACTTACAGTGACAATTCAGCCCGAGATTTTCGTTGCTAAGGGAGAGAGTGGTTGAGTGAGTTTTGCCCCATTTTACGCCCTTTCTTGCCACCGTTGTTAAGTTAATCGTCACACTTGTCAACTTAGGAAGACGGTTGTTAAGCGAATCTGGCCTCCCCCGTTGGCTCTGCTTGTCGCAAGGTCTCAAAAGGGGATCACGTGGTCCCAGGACCTTTCAGTTGCCAAGCATCTGAATTTTGATCGTGTGAATCACATGGCCATTTTGGGGGGGGGGAGGGAGGTGCTGCAATGCTCGTGTGAAAAACAGAAGTCACATAAGTGCCACGGTCATTAAATGAGCCGTTGTAAGTCGAGGACTTGCCTGTATTAGAACACTCCTGGTGGGCACTTCTCCTTCGGAGGGAAGAAGAATCCGCTTCTTGGACGGGAAGGAAGCGGCCGAGTCCCGGAGTGGCAGCCAGGCCACCCGCCAGACCCAGAATCCCACGGAGCCCCCGTGGCACGTCTCTCCAAAGGGAGGGGAGCAGCCCACCCCGCCTGCGGTGTCCCTTACCTGGTGTGTGTGACGATGTCGGTCAAAGCGCCGCCCTCCAGGAACTCCATGACCACCCAGAGCTCATCGCTCACCAGGTAGCTGTTGTACATCTCCACCACGTTCTCGTGCTGGTAGTCCCTCATGATCACAACCTGGGGGGGGGGGAAGGCAGGTAAGAAGGAGCCGCTTTCTGTGGGAAGGGGTGTGTGTGCAGAGAGAGGCTGCTGGCCTCAGGCAGGTGAGACCTTTAACCCAAAATCCCTGGTGGCAGCCCAGGAGGGCCGCAGAGTTTGCCCAGCACAGCTTGTCTGAGGCAGAACCGGGCAGGTCCTCCTATGGCCCCCTTCACTGGTGCCATTATGATGATTATGATGACTCTGCTGCTTTGCATGTACTCCGAGAGACAAATTCCTTGTGTGTCTAACCACCCTTGGCCAAATTAAGAATTTAATTCAACGGAATCCATGTCTCTGGAGAGTCTCCGTCATCCGAGCCCTGGTTGTCCCAAAGGTGCTTTTCCGAGAGGCAACTGGACTTTCTTGGCTTTTTCCTTGAAGACCTTTCGCTTCTCATCCAAGACGATTCTTCAGTTCTGATTGAATAGTGAGGTTTTCACCATTTTTGGCTTAATGGTGTCCACACCATTCAGTCAGAACTGAAGAAGCTTCTTGGACGAGAAGTGAAACGACTTCAAGAGGAGAAACACAGAAGGTCCAGTTGCCTTTTGGAAAAGCACCTTTGGGTCAATTCAACTCCATTCACCTCGTTGAAGAGCAGCTCCCGCCTCTGCTGCTTGCGCAGGTCCATCTTCTTGACCGCCACCAGCTTCCCGGAGCTCTTGACGGTGGCGATGCAGACGATGCCCGTGGAGCCCTCGCCGATCTTGATGAAGTTGTCCAGGTAGGTCCTGGGGTCTCCGGGATCAACCACCATCTGCAAGGCAGCTCGGAACTGTTCGTGGGAGACCCGCTGGGGCTCCCGCTGCGGGGAGCAGGGCTGCTGAGGAGCTGGAGGAGTGGGGGCCGCAGGCTGCTGGGGAGGGGGCTGCGGAGGCTGGGGGGCTGGCGGTGATGGCACGTGGGTCAAGTGGGGGTCCGAAGCGTGTTGGGAGAGTCCCAGAGGCGATGGCTCCAGATTTCTGGATCGGGTTGGGCCCGAAGGGGGGGGCCTGGAGGGGCCGCTGTTCCCGCCCACGGGTCCGTTGGAGGCTGCTTCTGGGCCTTTCCCCGGTCGATGCTCTGCCTAGAGAGAGAGAAGGGGAAGCCATTGTGACTGCAAGCATAAAAAGTAGTGCTTTCGCTGTGCAGGGACTTGGGACTGGATCCGTCTTTATCCTCACAGAGAGGGAGGATCAGCCTATCAAGCCTTTTCCTCCTTACGCAGAAGGAACCCAGGACTAGTCCCTTGTTTTGTCTCGACTGACGTGGCTTCTTTCGATCCTGCTCATTTGCAAAGCACAGCTGCCGTCTTTGGGCAGGTGAGTGTGCTAGAAGCCGCTCCTCAGAAGAGTGGACCCGACTAGCAGCCATAATGTCTACGGAGCAGGGCTCACCAGCCTTGGCAACTTTACAACTTGTGGGCTTCACATCCGTGAACGACTTGTGGGTGTCAACTCTCAGAATTCCCCAGCCAGCATATGGGAGTTGACATCCACAAGTCGTTCTGGGAGTTGAAGTCCACAAGTCGTAAAGTTGCCCAGGTTGGCGAGCCCTGCTCTAGAACAGGGGTCCCCAACCCCCGGTCCGTGGACCAGCAACCGGTCTGCGCAAACAAGCAAAGCCCCATCCGCGAGATGCAGGCAGCGCACAAAACTACGCACCCTCCGGTCCACGGAAAAACCTCTCTCCACGGAACTGGTCCCTGTTGCCCAAAGGCTGGGGACCTCTGCTCCAGAGGGTCATCTGCGCATTCCCTTCTTACGGCCACAAAGAGATCTGGGGATAGCTCGGCTCTATGCTGCTTATTCCCCCACCCTTACAGCCTTATCTTTCCCTCAGGGTCAGCAGAGTCTCCCAAAAAGCCCCCTTGTAAAAATGTCCTTTTCAGCGCAGAGGTCGAGGAGTTGACTCGGGGAGTCCATTTAGCTAAGCTGAGGGTTGGGCCCTTCCAAAGGAGGAGCCACGGCGAGGGCCAAATTAGGACCCTGTGCTCCCCTCTCTCAGCTTCCTGCAGAAGGAGCCCCCCTAGAGAGCCAGGTTCAGCAAGAGAGAGGGACGAGGAGCATGGATCAGCGGGAAAGACTGAAACCAGGGCAGGCACACCAGTTGCGTGAAAACTGAGCTTTACGTCTAAGTTCTGGTCCTGTCGTAAGAGGAGGAAGAGGAAAGAGTTGGGTGGCAGAGGCAGAAGAGAAAGCAGTTTGATGGCGTCCACGATACGAGAGGTCGTTGTGCAGCTGCAGAGTTTCTATGAAGACAGACAGAGGTTGCTACACAGGAGAAGAGAGTGTCATCAGATGGTTATTTGTATGTAGAGGAGACCAAGCAGAGGGCAGACGACAAGATGGACAACACAGGAGTGACTGGTTAGTGGAAGCGAGGAAGGAGAGCACCCGGAAAAGGCGAGGCAGGCAGGTAGGAAGCCCCGGCTGCAGCTGATGGAAGGCAGAAGGCAAGGGAGAACTACTGGGCAGAGGAAGGTGAGAAGAGAATCCAGAACAGGTGCAGAACGGAGCATGAAGGAGGAGCAGGCTCTGCACTGGCTACCAGGCTGGTCCTCCTGAGGCAGAGGAGGAGCGCAGGCTTTACCACTCGGTCAGCCAGCTAGGCTATGCTGAGAAGGTGGACGGACTCAGACGTCACGAGAACGGCACCTCCAGTGGATCGATCCAGGCTGGCCAGTCCCACAAGGGCCCCAAGCTCTACGATGCCCTGAGAGGTTTTACCTGAGTGCCACGGACAAGATCGGTGTCTGCGCGGGGGTAGGTGTTAAAAGGCCGTCCAGTCTGCTGTGCGGTCTTCATCACCCCTTCCGAGATGGGGATATTCGGGGTCCGGATATTGGGCCCGGAGAGGGGCCGTTTTTCCCGGGGGGACTGTGGGCTGGCCTCACCAGTGTAGGTGGACTTGGGTCTCTTGTCGGGCCCCTCCGTCCGCTCCCTCTTGACCACGCGCTCGGCGGGGGCCTCCCTCTTCCTGTCCCGCTCAGGCGCTCGGTGACTGTGTTCCGGCAAGGGCTTCGGGTGCTCAGGAGGCCGGGGGTGGCCAGACTGCTGGTGCGGCTTGTGGTGAGGTTCGTGCCCACGGGAGTGTGGGGCGGCAGTCCTGTTGTCCCAGCCCCGTTCCCTGCTCGGGTCCACGTCGTTCCTGGGCCCGTGGCGGTTCCGCTCCTTGGGCTCTCTGCTCTTGCTGCCCCCACCATCGTCCTCCGTGAGGGGAGGGTGCTGGTGCTGGTGCAGGTGGTGGCGGGGCCTGCCCAGCGCCTCTCCCAGGCCGTTCTCCTGGTAAAACTGGTCATGCCGAGCCGGGAAAGGAGGGCTGTCCCTGCGCAGCGAGTTGGAGCGTGACACCGACATGTTCTCAAACTCATCTAGCAGCCAGGCCAGGGAACCGTCCTTGGAAGTTTTGTTTCCGCGCACGATGGTCTTACGCACATGGAATGGAACATGGACCAGGCAGTTATGGGGGGGAGGGGGGGAGAAGGGGATACACAAACAGAAAAGAAAATAAGGTAAGCAACATAAAAACAAAATAAGATGCTTGATGAATGCTTGACGATGGCCCAAGACGATTCCAGCTTTGGCACCAGAAGCGCCCAGCGGTGGGCCTGGTGGGGAGAACAAGGGAAGGAGGACTTGCACATGGGAGGAGAGGAAATGGGACCTTTACAGAGCTGTTCTCTCCCTTTCTCCTGTGACTACACGCCATCCATGCTGAGACACTTTTTAAAAAATATGTCAGTGCTGAAATGATGAATGCCAGGAGTGCTGGATTTGGAAGGCAACGCCTGAAAGGCAGCCTTACACCAACCTTCCTCCCCCCCCCCGGGTCACCCAGTTAACTCCCCGAATTTCAGCCAGCAAAAACCAAGTTACTCAGCCTGGGAATCCCAGACAACTCTAAGTGGGGAGGCCGTCTTTGGCTTCCTGGCTCTGCAGCCGAGTCTCCTGATTACACCACAAGCAAGTAAGATGCTCCCGATCTAAAATGGATTCGATCTCTAAAACACTTTGGAAGAAGAACCTGCCAAATCAGGCATTTCCTGCTCTCTCAGTCTCAGGTGAGGCAGGCTGCCCTCAAATGCTTCCCTAATGATTAAAGACACCCAGGAACCAACTGAGCTCCGGAGAAGGTCTCTACCTCATTGTCTTCCCAGTCTGCTTTAGTACAGGGGTCTCCAGATGGGGCAACTTCAAGACTTTAAGCATGGCTGGCTGAGGAATTCTGAGAGTCGAAGTCCACAAGTCTTAAAGTTGCCCAGTTTGGAGACCCCTCATCACTCCGGAAGTGCAGAGATGGCTGCTCCCCCCAGAAATAGAGGCCAGGGGAAATAACGGAAGCGTTTATTTTGGCAAAAATAAACGCACACAAGGAGTGGTGTAAGGAGGAGGGCTGACCAAGGTGGTGGTGGTGGTGGCTTCTGTCTCCCTCCCTCTTCAGCATATTGTGCAGAACCATCAGTGGCCGTTGTTTTTTTAAAACTGAGGAGACCCTGAAGGACCCCCCCTCCTTCCCCCGCTTAACCACAGAGACCAAACAGGGAAAGAGAGACGCTTTGCCCAGCAACAGCTGCTAGCAACGATTCTGCACTTCCTGCGGGATTCCTGGAAACGGCCAGTGAACCACCTGCGATTTGCGGCTCCAAATGAATTTCCGAAGTGGAAAGCGAGCTGGCCAAGAGACCCTCCCAGCTGCAGCCCACGTGGGGGAGACCTCTCCCCACCACAGCTACCTCGCCCTCCCGGACAATGCGCCCTGCCGCCAACAGAAACAGCCAAGCTCTGCCGAAGGCTCAGTGGGCTCCCCTGAGAGACCGGGAAGAGCCAGCCTGATTTCTCCAAGAACTGAGCAGCCCCCCCCACCCCCATCGAGAGGGAGGAAGGGCTGGGACCAAGGCAGGAGGGCCTTCTGGAGCTGGGCCTTTTGAGTCCCAAGGTTTCCTGTCACCACAGTCTTCCTTTTGGGACAGAGGAGACGCTACAGGGGGGTGGGGTGGCAGGACCGGAACAACCACTGTTGCCCAACTTTCTGGCACCCGGCTTTCCTCAGGAAAAGCCCCAGTTGAGTCACTCTTTGCTCACGCTAGGAGGAGGCTGAGACTCCGAAGCCCCCCTCCTCTCCTCAGGGGCAGGGCCTGCCCCCATTCCAGGCGGGGTCTGGGGCAACGCAAGCCCACAAGTGGGGTGTGTGTGCAGGGACATTTGACCATTCTGAGTCGGAACAATTTGGCCCGTTTCCAAAACACAGTATGCCTATTTTTCAATCAAGCCTGCAACCGAGGTCTATTTCTCTCCCCAAAATTATACATTTGCTCCTGTTTGGGTCCCAAAGCCGGCTGAAACCTGAAAGCTGATACTCCTTCCGCTCAGAGATGCCCCAAACCTTATCCGGCCATCCCTGGAGTCCTTGAACCCACTGCATCCACGCTCTGCCCTCCCTTGCCAGGCTCTTTCCGTTCCAGGGTCACTCTCCACGGGGCTAAACCCAGCCTGGCAAAGGGGGGATATCTGGGGTAGAACAGAGAGATGGGCACAGATAGTCCTCGACTTACAACCATTCTTTTAGCGGCCATTCAAAGTTACAACGGCACTGAAAAAAGTGAATTGGGACCATTTTTCACACTTATGACCGCTGCAAGATCCCCCTGGTCACGTGATGAAAATTCAGGCACTTGGCAACTGGTTCATACTTACGACCGTTGCTCTGTCCTGGGGTCATGTGATCATCTTTTGCGACCTTCTGACCAGCAAAGTCCAGGGGGAAGCCAGATTCACTTCACCACTGTGTTACTAACTTAACAACTGCAGTGATTCACTTAACAACTGTGGCAAGAAAGGTCGTAAAATGGAGCAAAACTCACTTAACAACTTTGCTTAGCCAAGGAAATTTTGGGCTCAGTTGTGGTCGTAAGTCGAGGACTGCCTGCGTAAAGCCGACTGGCAGCCCCTTCGCCCTGACAGACTCGGCAGTTTCACCTCCGGCTGATCCCCAACTCTGCTTTCAGGATCCGTCCCGGCCGGCTCGCCTTCCCTCCCTCCTAATTCAGCGCAAAGGAGGATTTCCCGCTTCCCCACCCTGAGCTAAGAGCTAAGAGCCAGGCTGCCTCTGAACAGCCGCTGCCTTGGTCTCCGGGGCCAGCTCAAGAGTGGTCCCCCTGGCCTGGCTGCTGGGACAAGATCCGGATCCTGGCAGCTGGGCATGCCCAACGTGTCCAGCCTCAGAGCTGCAGCGCATGTTCTGAAAAGATGCAGACCCTGGAGAAGCGCACATTTGCTGCATGACGGACCGTATCTTATTGCTTGTGAAAACTGAATCCACTTTCTCGGGAACTCTGCCTGAAGCAAAGTGGCAGTTCAGTCACACAAAAAAATTCGTTTATGCTCTCAGTTCTCAGATGATGCGGCAAGAACTCAAGATCTGCGCCTCTGGTCCCTTTGGGTTCCAGTTCAATGGGAGATTGACACCCTGAGCAAAGCTAATTAAGTCTCGGCCTTGAACCGATCGTGTCCCCGAATGTCTGTGCAGATTCTCGGTCACCCAGGTCATGGTTGTCCCGAAGGTACGCAACTGGCCTTTCTGTGTCTTTTCTCTTGGGAGACGTTTCGCTTCTCATTCAAGAAGCTTCTTCGGTTCTGAGGGAAGGGTGGGGGAGCTCAGGAACCCCACCATTCGGTCAGAATTGAAGAAGCTTCAAGAGAAAAGACACGGAAAGGCCAGTTGCCTCTTGAAAAAGCCCCTCTGGGGCGTTGCATGAGCTCCTCTGAAACCGAACCCCCCCCCTCCTCTGCGCACTGGCCCATCTCCACTGTCGCAGCCTTCGGGGGGGGCAGAGCAGGTGCCACCAACCTTCTGAGAGCCGGGCTGGACGGCCGTGATGTACACGGGGTCCACCAGTGGCTTTGGCCGCTTGGCCGACTCCTCGATGATGCCCTGCCATTGCCTGGGCAGCCCCGTGAACTTCTGCTCCTGCTGGTCGTAGCCCGTGTGGACCCGGTGCTCGAAGTTGGAGGGGGCCGAGATCTCAATGCGTTTCTTCTTTTTGGTGAACATGGTGATGTTGGCTAGCAGACCTAGAAAAAAGAGGTTTTTTTATTTAAAAAAATGTCAATGGACTAAATCTCTTTGTCAATCAGCAGCTCCAGAGCCTAGCCTCCCCCACCCCCTGGTCCCACGAGGCAGCCCCCTCCCCAAAGGTGGGTGGCTTCATAGGGAGCGTGGGAGATCCCCTTTCAGGAGGAGAGATCAATACTCCCGCCCTGCCAGGAGCTCAAGGTGCCAGTCCCTCCTGTTAACCACTGACCGAGAGATCCCTGCTAGGCTGAGGGATCAATCAGAGGCCAATTCAAACCTCCGAAACGGCCGGGAAAGGCGCAGCTGAGCAGCCTTCCCTAATCCGGCATGCAGGGGTCTCAACAAAGTGCAGTTACTCCATCAGCCTCACCAGCTGCCTCTGTGTGGCTGGACTGAACGGAGAATAAGCTCCATGGCTTGGCCGGAGGGGCTTTGGCTGCTGAACTTTATGACCCTGTTGTCCAAGCTCAGCAACACCAGAGAAAGCCAACCATACACACACACACAACAGACACCCAGACACCCATCCCTTCTCAGGGCATGTGAATTTTCCTCCTCCTCCTCCTCCTCCTCTACTCCACAGCCCTCCCCACCTGGTCTTCTGGCCCCCACGTTCTCCCTCCCTCATCTACCCTGCTGCCCAGAGAAGCTGTTTTCATGCAAATGGACCAGCTCCAAAGGGGACAAAGGAGAAAGAGCCGGGGACAGGAATCTAGTGGCTTCCTCCTCTTGGGGAGTCTGAGCTGATCTCGCCCAAATGCCAGCCCTGAGGATCCCAAAGGCGTTCCTGGGATCAGCTGCAATCCAGAGACTCAGCACTCTGCGGCGTGCCTTGCCAATCCGGTTGGACCGGTCCTTTTGTCAGCAAAACATCCCCCCCCCTCCCGTTTGCCCAACTGGGCCAGCAGGCCTCTCTTGACCAAGACAGGGAAGGAGGCCAAGCCAAACCAGGCAGCGACTCAAAAGAGAGCAGCAGTGAATCATGTCGCCATTTTTGTCAGGGCTGAACTCAAGGGTGGAGAAAGATTATGCAGCGATTTAGAAAATTAGGTTTCTCGGGAAGCGTAAAATTAGCATTAGAAAAAAAACCTCTTGTAGCTTGTTTACACCAGGAAATGATAAAGAAGGAAGAAACAACAGTGAGAAATTGAGGAGCACAAAAATATTTCGATTTTGGCAACGTCACTTCTATCCAGTGTGATCTCTTTAACTGCTTCGGCGGCAGCAAGACAGCCCACGCACGAGTGGAAGGGAAACCCAAAGGAATCTAGACTTCCCCTGCTAATCAAAGAGGCCATCAGGCATTATTGCCTTGCTGGTTCTCTCTACCTTTCCAACCTGCTCTGCAGGCAAGCAGCTCAAAAGCCTAGCGGTTCATCTGACAAACCAGATGCACATCACGGAGACTCATATACTCAGCAAGAGGGTAAACATGTGCTGTATGACACAAACATGCCTGCATTCCTAAAGAAAAATTTCCACCAGGTCTAGTGGGCCACAAGCTAAGACGCTCCTCTTAAAAAGGGCCCGGCCATTCCTCTGGCTGCAGAAAGCGAACCTGGGCACCCCAGGCGGGTTGGGATCCCAGCCCAGCCAGAGGCTGCTGTGAGCAGACCCAGCCCTCACCCAAAGCACAAAGAATCCTGGAAGAATCAGCACAGGCAAGAGGAATTTTATGACAGTGAGAACAGCTAATCAACGGGACAGCTTGCCTCCTGGGGTGGTGGATGCTCCATCACTGGAGGTTTACAAGAAGAGACTCCGGCAGCCACTTGACCGGAATGGCTCAAGAAGGGGGTTGGATTAGAAGACCTTGATCCAGCCCTAGGATTCTATGAATTTTCTTCCCACACAAATGCATAATCAAACTTTGAGATTCATGACCACAAGATGTGGTGCTGGCTACCAGCTTGGCTGGCTTCAAAAACCAGGCTGGACCAATTCATGGAAGTCATAAGAACCGGTGGCCTTTAACTCTGATGGTGGTGGAACTGCCTCCGAAGGCCATCTGCTGGGAGACCAGGGGTCTTCCTTGGGCAGGGGTCGGTGAGTCACTGAGACAATAAGCTGCTGGGATTGACAGGCCAGGGATCCAATCCAGCAGGGACCTGCTTTTTTTTATGATTGACTTTTTGTCTTTCCCCCTTTTAGCTTGAGACACAATGAGCAGTAATTTCCTGGGAAGGGATGGCGATGTCACACACTCTTAAAAAATGCCCAGTAAAAGACCATTGTAATGATGCAAAATAAAATAAAATAAAATACTAATACAGTATTCACCTCAAGACTGCAGAAAAAGATTTGGGGTCAACTGCCTTGATAGGGAGGGAAAATCATGGCCACAACCTGTGGACTTCAACTCCCAGAATTCCTGAGCCAGCCAACTTTCACAACTCTATAAGGAGAATCCTGTTCCTACCCTTAAAGCAGATGGAAGGGGCTGCTAGCTAGTGTTCCTCCTCCACTCCTGGAGCGTTCCAGCCGGGCTTTGATTCCTGGTGGGTGACAGGGCTGAGGCCAGTCTGCTCCAATTTCCCAGGGCAAAGGTGGAAGGGCAAAGGTGGAAGGGCACGCCAGCACAAAAAGCTTCAACTCTTGACCTTCCCAGGAGATCAGTTTTGCAGCACGATTTATCCCAAAAGAAGCAATCAAGCAAAACACAGCCAGGAATGAGCTGCAACCTAAAAGGCTGAGTTTCATGCAGAGATACAAATCAATTTCTTTTATCACAACGGTATGTGAAAATAGGAAGTTTTCTTTGGGAACAAAAGGAAGTGTGGGACGCCTAAATCACTGCAGAAGAGTTCGATCCTCTGCCGGAGCTTAGCTTAACCACAAAAGAAGATGAAAAGCCCCCAAATGCAACGTGACGCTTTAATGTTCCCAAGGAACCAGCCATAAATATCCCAGAGTCGGAATTGCAGGGGTATTTTTGAATCAAACCGCTACAGCTGGAAAGTGCTGGAACTAAAGCTACCATTTTAGTAAAGATGGCCCTGGTTCAAAGGAAGAGCGACGGGGACAGACTGACCAGAATTCACAGTAATCCTGGTATGCTGCAATGCCTTGCTGAGCAGGCCAGGAGGGCAGCTGGAAAGCAAACTGTTCTCCTCCTACAGAGGCAGGGATGGTACCTTAATGGGATGATACGGAAAAGGCGGCTACGCTGCCTTAAGAGCACGGCTTGTGTCGGGGTCTTCCTCCTCCTTCCTTCCCGGATGTCTAAGTGGGAACAGGAGCACCCAATTCCAGAAACAGACCCAGAAACGTCTTGCCCAGGCCTTTGGTTTAAGTCCGCTTCTGGGTCGGGTGAATGCGTTTTCATTGTTATCTAGTTGTTGCCCAGCTTTTGCCATCATTTGTTCTTCGTTTATATTGTCCTGTGTTTTTTTTCTCTGTGAAATACCCAGCATCACTAAGAATTGGGCAGTGAAAAAAAAAGTTTAAAAAGCTATGCTTTAAAGTTCAGTTCTTCAGAACGGAAGAAGCTCCTTGGATGAGAAAAACAAAGACCAGTTGCCTTTTGAAAAAGCACTTTTGGGGACAACCATGATCTGGATGACTGAGAATCTCCACCGAAAGCTCAAATGATGGCTCCATCACATGCTACCTGTTCCTTCTAAGTAAAGGTGTCCAGGATGGCACGCAAGGACTTTTACCTGCGCACCACAGCTCCGCCTTCCTCAACCAGCAGCTCCACCGCGAATGTGTCGGAAGCCCTTGTGCTGTTGGGTTTTCTCAGAGACGGCAGAGATCAGAGGCTCAGCGCGGCATTAACCAAATCTGAGCCTGGCTGAGCTTCTTCTTCAGGGCTGTTATTACTCCACTCCTCCAGCTGGCTCAAAGCTCAAGGACAAGATTCAAGATGATCTGCAAACTATCAAAGCTGCTTTCTTCTCGGCTGAAGAGCCACTTGATTAAAAGCTTGAAGCATTTTATTAGCAGGCCCATAATTTCACGTGCCCTGGTCCTCTTGCTCTGCGGCATCAATGACCTCAGAGGGCAGACCCAGATGTTCTTCTCCCTGCTCGGTCTCCATCACTAACAGCGTTTCCTATGGAATCCACAGGAAGAGACAGGCTCTCGAGAGGTCTTCTATGTTTGGACTCTGCCCATAAACTTTCCAGGCAAGCCGAGAAGACCGATCTTCTCACTACAAGAGGGAGGAGGTGATTTTGGAAGAGGAGTAAGAAAATAGAAAGTTTCCAGATTCTGGCTTTTTCTGGCCAAAACGTTTTATACAGCAGGAGTGAAATGACCGATGTTCATGATCTGTGGCAGATTTGCCACTGAGGACCCCAGAACCACCTCCAGCCCCACAGGGTCATCAGAAGCTCACATTCTTTGGTTGCTGATCTGTACGGTAGAAGCAGCAACAAACACCCCTAAAATGCTCGACTCTGCAGGCCTGATCCTCATAAACGAAGAGGCCAATCGACAGTAAACACGTGTGCACAGCGCCAGTAAATGAACATTCACCAGCATCCAAAGCAAAGTCAGATTCCACCTCTGGAAAACAGGACGCACATTAAGCCAAGGGGCAAATGGGTTTACTTCCCACAATGTCCTCTGTTCTCATCAGGCACTCAAGTGTCTGAAACAAAACCTCATCAGTGGGCCTCCAATTTTGCCACATTCAAAAAAATCGGTGAATTCCAGTCCATCAGCTGTCTGGCAAGCCCTTTTATTTACTTATTAAATTTATATCCCGTCATCCCCCTACCCAAAGCGACTCTGCGCGGCTTCTAGGATAAAGAGCACCAGGAAGCAGATAAGCTTTATCAACAACCCCCCTTCTTTGTTGCTAGTAATTGACCATTTATCCAGTCAAATGACAAATGACCTACCGCCCAATATCATGGCACAGCCCTGTGGCTTCCTGGATTGCTCAATAAAGGTAAAATAAAGTTTCCCAGTGAACCTCCTCTGTCTCTGGCCTGCACCGATCCAGCAGAGATGAGCAGAGGCTCCCTCAAAAT